GTGGCCGTGCACGGCGCCCGGCGCCCAGGCCGGCGGGAGGGACGAGGGCGGAGCGCAGGACCGCTTGGCCTGACCCTTCCCCCCTTCCCTTCCCATCCCCGCCCCTCTCCTCGCCAGGCTCCAGCCTTACTTAACCCCTGCCCAGCCGCGGCGGGTTTATGGGCAGCCGCTGCCCTCTGCCCTTCTGCAGCCTGGCCAACATATCTCTCCAAGGCACTCCCCTCCACCTCTGGCCTTGGACGTTGCGTCCTTTACCGCCTTCGAGGCGCCCCAGGGACACCCCCCCATTCCCGGCAGAAGCAATAATGGGAGTCCAGTTGCACCCGGGCGCAGGAGGGGGGCATGCCTGTGCGCAACAGACACGCGCGCGCGCGCGCGCCCGCACACCCTGGGGCATTGCTTTGCACAGTTGCAAGATGGATTGTGTTTGCTTCCTCTTCCAGAAAGTCGCCGCGTCCGACCCCCACCCACCCTTGTCTTTGCTTGGGCGAACACCTGGTGCTCGTAATCTCCAGGGGGAAGGGATGTGGTGGTCTCCGGCTGGCGGGGGCGCGAGGTCAAGGGGTTCCTCACCAGATTTCAGGCCTCTGGGGGCAAGGCGCCCACCCGCCGGCGAGGTTAGAGGCAATAGGAATGCCCACCACTCATGCCGTGGCCTGCCCCTTCCCCTTTAATTTCCTTTTTTTTCTGTGTTTTATAGAAAGGGCTTGGCCAGGAGGCCGGCTGGACTGCAGATGTCTCTTCCAGACTCCCTGAGCTCTCCTCCCAGCTGCTGCTCGCCTGCAACAGCCCCCAACCCCACCCAAACCCTGGGCTGGGGCCGACCAGCATTTAGTATTTATTAAGCACCCTTTGTATGCGCCCAGATCGCTCTCACATGGGAAGCCTAAGCCTCTGGCTCTGGGCCCGTTAACGTTTAACCCGCTGGAAAAGCCCTTCCTGCGGTGACCTTTCACCTTGAAGTCCCTCAGGTCCTGTAGCCTGGCCTTATCTCCTGCCCGGCCTGCTCACCCAGACACGAGGCCACGTGGCTGGGCCTATGAAGGCTGTGGGCGGGAGAGTAGTGCTCTCTGCCCATGAGGCTCCTAAGTCCTCCTCTCTCAAGAAGGGGCCTTGGGAAAAGACACCCCCTCTCCAGATGACATCTGAAGAGGCACCCTCGAGAGGCGGGGAGGGGGAGAGATGCTTAGAGATCGTGCAACACTTCAAAAGATACCAAGGTTCTGAGAAAGCCAGCACAGTCAAGCACAGCCCAGGGATTCTGGGCCTCCCAAGGAGGGCCTGGGTGAGTGCAAGGTGGGAAAGGTTTTAGCAGGTACAGAAAGCAAGAAGGGCTCGCGTTAGACATGAGCAAAGACTTTCCATGGGTCTGACTAAAGTGGATTTCTGCCCTGTAAGCCCTACTGGGGGAGTGGAGCCTGGGTGGTTATAGAGAACCCTTTGGTTCTGGGGCTGCCTGGGAATGTGGAGGGCGCTGGCTGGTTATTTGGAGTGAGGACAAGGGTCTAGGTCCCTTCCTGGATCGTCCAGGATCTTTGGTGGGAGAAGGGGTCCGCTTCAGAAAGGGAAACTTAGCAGGGAAAAGTCTCACAGAAGGGAGTCAGAGGGGGGATTTAGGGAGGGGAGGGTTTGAGGGACACATATCTGGGGCAAGGAGGCCCAAAAATGACAGGCTGAGAGCCGGCTTGGAGACTGGGGAAAGAAGGCGCCGGAGTTGGTCCTACTCTGCGGATGCCCCGCCCCCTCACGGTAGCTCCACCGCCCCTGCATGCCCTGGGGCTGGTCTGCTGGGGTAAGGCTGGAGTCTAGGACCGGCTCCGCCCCCCTGACCCCTGCCCGCGGCCCCGCGGTGACATTTGACCTTGCGGCGGCCGCGGACCAGGGACAAAGAGGCCTGGACCCATCTGCTGCAGGGGCACCCGTGGGAATGGCCAGACCCTGCTCTGGTGGCCTGGGAACAAATCCCTGCCCCCTCCTTAAGCACGAACTCCTTCCCCACCCTCTAACAGGTGACTTCGTCTCCTTTTGCTTCCTCCCTGCACCGACAACCTGGTGGGACTGGGAGCTAAGATGACTCTTGGGAGAGGGAAGGGGGACAAGAGGGGCTAAGGTCGGCTCCTCTACTCCCCTGCCTCACAGACGACCTTGCCCGCCTCAATTTCCTGGCTTTTATCCAAGCCGACCTTGGTCCACAGAGAGTGCGCGGGGTCCGAAGGTCACCAGCCCCAACTCTCGCCTGAGGCATCTGTGGGTCAGGAGGACCGGATTGCGTCCAGGCCGCTGACTGGCACTGATCTCAGGTTCGTCTTGCCCTTCCAGGCAAGAAGTAACCGCCCCGCACACACCTGCACAGGTTCGGCCTGAGAAACGCCTCCACCACCAGGCTGGGAACAAAACCCTTGCTAATCCCCAGCTTGGGTTTCAGCTACCGCGCAGGAGAGCACAGTTGGCCTCTAATCCGGGCCGACTGGGTCGTGCCCAGCCCCCCTTTCACGACCCCGCCAGACCCGATTGGGAGGGCGGGGAAGTGTGACCTATGCAAATGACATGCTAATCAGATGCCTGTTATTAACCTGACACTAGCGCTTCCCACAGCTTCCAAGGTCTAACGGTGAAAGCCAGAATTTAGCCTCACCAGGGGCCGTCTAGGCCCTCGAGGGACCGAATGTGTGTGGTGCCCACCTTGAGCACGCACTCTGAGTTCCTCTGCGCCTGCGGTATAGACCCCTGACTTTCCGCGTGCAGGTTTTTAAGCCTTTTACCTTAGCTCCACATTTCTTTGCATGCAAGTTCCAAAGCTGCCTCTGATTCCTCCTCCCTACACATGCACCTGGAGCATGCGCCCTTCTAGCTAACGTTCCACACTCCGAACTGTGGGGGCCTCAGTCTTCTGGGTTGTAGGCATCGTCCTCTTGGGAGCATCTTCCAGGACAAACCCAACTTCTCCCTAAGAAGAGTAGGCAGGGGAAGGTGTGCCCTGCCCCCCGTGGATCCCTGTCTGGGCTTCTGGAAACAAGTAAGAGTTGGAATTTCAGCTCTGGGTGTGTAACCTCACTGACCTCTGAATCGCCCCAGCCAGGCCCGGAGACCCTATCCCTACAGCCCAGGCTGCCTCTGGCAAGACCCTACCGACCCCATTCACATGCCACATGGTGCCAAGCCAAAAAGACACCGAATCTTTCTCAAATGCCCAGCCAACCCCTCATCCAGCCCAAGATGCACAGGTATATCAGCCTCCATCACATCAAACACGCTTCACCATGCAAAGTCACGCCTCATGACATCACTCCAGGACAGTTTATGACACGGCCGGCCACCACTGTCTGGCACATCCAGACATGGCCAGGTACAGGGCCTACAGAAAGGTCTCCCCTGGCTGGGGAGGTGGACGGGGCTGACTGGGCCTCTCCAAGTTTCTTGCAGTGGTTTCTAGCACAGCCAGCTCTTCTGCCTGTCGTGCCTCCATTAGTGCCACCTGCTGTTCCAGCTTCCTCCGTTGCCCTTCCTGCTTCTGGCGGGCTCCTTGGAAGGCCAGGACCAGGGCACTAGAGGGGGTATGGAGGTTGGGGGTTGAGCCAGGAAATAGGCTCCCCACACTAAGACAGGGACTACGCACTTCCAGACTGGGACTTCCTGAAGTCCCAGCATCACTCAGGAGGGGCTGACACACAGGCACCAGGGGAGGTGTGGGATGGACCAAATTTGCAGCCCACCTTATAGGAGAGAAGCTGAGGCCCAGACAGAGCCAGGGAATCTTCTGAGGTCACCAGGGGAAGTACAGGGAAGGGGGACCCACCTGTGAGCCTTACATAAATCACTGTTCAGCTCAGCACTCTGAGCACGTCTGGCTCGCTCCTTCTGAGCCACCTGTTCCAGCTCCTCCCGCAGAGACTGCAGCTGCTCCCGCAGGCCCAGGGTCCTGATACAGGAGTGGGGAGAGAAGGGCTCACAGCCATAGCCAGTCCTATCATCCCTCTACCCACCCACCTGCCCATGGTGTTTCCATGGTAGGAACACACCTGTACACAGGTGCACACCCAGCCTGGCACTGCTGCACACAACACCCCCACGGACTCTTGCATATATGCCACCATCACCCTCCCTCCCTAGCCAAATATCCCCCAACCAGAAACACACCGAGTGAGTGATGCCAACAGTTCCTGAGCTAGCTCCTCTCGATCCTGCACTTTGCCCACCTGACCTCCATCGATGCCCCTGATGCCACCAGGGATAGCAGGGCCCTGAGAGAAGCAGAAAGAAGGGACATGACATTGGCCTAGGCTGAGTATGTGCTCAGCCCACGCTGGATGTTGAAGATGCCCAGACTGTGGCAGCCATAGTCCTTTCTCTCACAGAGTCTCCAGTCTGGTGAGATACCCCAATAAGAGCAAAATTAGTCCCTAACAAGGGAAATAAATAACAGGGGATCTCATCTGAAGTCAGTCCAGGAGGGCTTCCTGGAGGAGGCGATATCTGAGCTCAGACCTCTAGGAGTTCAAGGACTTAACTGAACAAAGAGGGATGTGACTGGTGTTTCTGGCAGTGGCGCAGCAGGTACAAAGGCCTGGAAGTGGAAGAGATGATTCAAAGGAGCATTCTAGAAGCCACTGAAGGCTTTAAGCAGAGGGTAGACATGATTAGACGGCAAGGGGCAAAAAGGAAAGACTCAGAGGGAACTAGAACCAAAATTTAGGAAGAGAGGAAGCATGGACTGGGGCTATTAGAGTGGAGACGGGGTGGTATGAACAGGCCTGGGTGGTGGGATAAAAGAGGTACAGGTTTGAGTGAAGACACTAAATCACTTAAGGCTTAGTGGGCTCAATGCCCTCAAAGAAAGAAACTCCAAAGTACAAAGTGTGAACTTTAACCTGCAGCTTACCATTCAACTAATTTACTTGTGCAGAAATGGAAACTGAGGCTCAGAAGGGGCTGTGCTTGGCCAGAGCCACCTAGCCAGTAGTATACTTCTATCCCTACCAGGTCGAGTCAGAGTGCTCACCTGGGACCATGCCTCCTCGTCTCCGCTACTCCTGCCTCCACTGCTGTCACCGCCACTGCTGTTGGCCCCACCAGTTTGGAGCTGAGCCCACTCCCACCGCAGCTGCTCCAGCAGGAGCATGTGGGCGGGGCCCTGGGCTCGGAGGGCAGCCTCCCGCAGCTCCAGACCCCGCTTCTCCCGCCGCACCAGCTGTAGCCTCAACATCAGGTCTTCCTGGGTCTCCTGAGAAACCAAGAGAGGGTAGAGAATTTGTGACTCTAGGGTCAACTGCTGGGGAAACTGTTCCTGGGTCCTGGGCCTCAAGAGGCACCAGTGAGGGCTGGTCAAGCAAGAACTTAAACCCTCACCATGATCTTGTGTGGTAGGAAATATAATTCTCTCATAAAAACTACAGCTGTAGACATGACAGTTCAGAGAGGACAAGTATCTTAGACAAGTTCGAGTAGAAGCTCAGTGGAAGGGGCTGAAGTTTCTCCAACTCCAGAACCTTAGGTCTTTCGTACAAACCTGAAATTGTGTCCCCTGCCCCATTTCTTTTCCATGCAAAGCGCATTTTGCAAAGCCAGATTCAAAGCCTTATGAGAAACTGAATTCCAAAGGACAAACTCCTATTCATCTCTCAAAACCCAGCCCCAATTCTCCTCCTTCCAGGAAAACTGACTCCAGCCTAGCAGAACTCTCTTTTGCTGTTTAGTTCCCCAATCACATCCCTCTTAACCTCAGCAAAGGATTTTGTCCCACCAGGAAAGGCTGACACAATAACCACTGCCCATTTGTACCCGTGCAGCCTCCAGGTCCTGCTGGATCTGCATCTTCTCCAGCTGGGGCAGGGCTAGGCCAGGCTGCGTCCCCAGAATAGCCTGCACCATGGCTTCTGCACGGGGCGCAGTGGGCATGGGTGACAAGGTGGGACCAGGATCTGGGGGAATCTTCACCATAGCACGGCACTCTCGGAGACGCTGGACACAGCCTCGGAGCTGGGTAGACACCTCCTGTGGTGTGGGCCTATCCACACTGCTGCCCTCAGGGCTACAGAAAACAGAAGAGGGGCCTGTGTGGACATTGACAGGCATAGTTGTGCTAACTTCATGCCAACCCTGGTGGACTCCATCATCTTCCATATTACTGACCATGGTGGATCCTACACCATCTGTTGTGGGCGCTGTAATACCAATATGGTGGGCACCATCATCCATCAAGACAACACGGTGAACACCATCACACCAATGGGTACCGTCATTCATGTAAACATGGTGGACATCATCACACCAATCTAATGGTCGCAGCTGCTCATGCCAGCATGGTGGATGTCATCACGCCAAGCCAATGGACATCATTGCTCAGCTTGCCAGACCTCTTTGGCAGCATCATGCCAACATCTTTAAGCACTGTCATGTCAGTTCTAATCAGTGACACCATCATCCATCTTCATGACAACCCTGGTGGGTCCTATACCAACCCCAATGGCTGTTAACCACCACGACAAATTTGTTGAATAGCAGCCAGCCAACTCCAGTCGGGTCTCCATGGACCAGCTCTGGGAGCCCCATTTCCCAATCAGGACCCCATTCACTGGCCTGCCCAGTTCCCAGGATTCCTAGGAGTACCTTAGCTGAGGATCCCACCGTGTCCCTCCATCCATGGCAGCCTCCTCTTGGGCCAGCAGCCTCTGAGCCTCCTTCTCAGCTGCCTCCAGGTCACTCTTGGGGACGTCTTCTGCTCCTGAGTCCGCCTCCCGGAGAGTGAGCAGGACCCCATATGCCTCCTCACAGTGCTCACTGTGGGACACTGGTTCTAAGTGCTCCAGGACACTCAGCCCCATCTTTCAGGTGATATTTCCACTTGCTCCTGGATCTCTCCCTTCTCTCCCATCCCCAGGGGGGAATGCAAACCCCTTCAGCACCCTTGGACTAAAATTGCCTTAAATTAATTTCTGTAGTGGGAGAAAGTAATTACCTGCGGAGGCCCTGCCTCTCTTTGTGGATCAGGGACATCCTCTGAGCTCACCCATTCCCTTCCCAGCCAGTGATACCATGGCGGGGGTGGGGCAAAGACCTGTACTGCAAGGCCAGACGTAGTGCCGTGGCCTCGGCCTCCCGCTGGCCCAGCTGCATGCTGAGGCCCTCACACCGACCCTTGTATCCCTGGAGCACAGCTGACAGCAGACGGTTGAAGCATTTGAGCTTCTCGATGCTCCTGCCTCCGAAGGTGGGGAAGAGGGAAAGTGAGAGGCCTTGTAGAGTAGTCAGAACCCAATTGATTTCCACCTCCCCTCCCGTACCCCAACTCCAGCTCCAGACTCAGGTTTATATCTCAGCTGAGGAGGTGCTGGTGCCCTTACGAGCTCAGCATTTGTGGCTCTTACCCCTGGAGCTTCTCCAACTGGACTTCCACGATGTGCATCTTGGGCGTAAGAGGCTGGGTAGAGAGAGATCCAAGGATCTGGGCACTAGAATCACTCCGGAGGCGCTGGAGCAGGGGGTGAGACAGGGAGAAGGAGTCCTGCAGCAAGAGGGGACTTGAATCACCAAGATTGTCAAGAGCTCAGCACCATGGGTTTAGGCTTTTCCAATCGCAGAAGATGATGGATCACATGACCTGGATTTGAGTCTCACTACCCCAAACCCTAAGGATCTCAAGATGGTGGTTTTGAGCTTCCCACACTCACCTGAGTGGCCCAGGGCTCCCCATCAGCCCCGGAGCTGCTGGATCCACTGCCTGAGCCACCTGCTTGGCTCTGGGAGGAAGGTGGGAAGGGGTCCAGCCTCAGCAGGGAATCCTGCAGCTCCTGGACCTGGGGGAAGCATGAGGAATGTCAGGCTGGGGGCTCCAAATAACCACCAGCCCTCCCTAAGGCCCGTTCCTGGGGCAGTGGCAAGAGCCCTAGCTGTAAAGCAGGAGCCCCAGGTATTCACTGCACCAAATCCCTCCCTCACTATATGACCTTGGGCAACTCACTCAACCACTCAGGACTTCTCTTTCTTTAGACATACAGATGGCCAACAGGTACATGAAATGTGCTTAACATCACTAATCATCAGGGAAATTCATATCAAAACCACAAAGAGATTTCACCTTATACCTATTTAGATGTCTGTTATAAAAAAGACACGAAATGACAAGTGTTAGTGAGGATGTGGAGAAAAGGAAAACTTCATATGCTGTTGGGATTGTAAATGGGTATAAATACTATGGAAAACAGTATTCTCAAAAAATTACCAATAGAACTACCATGGGATCCAGCAATCCCATTTCTGGGCATTTAGCCAAAGGGAACAAAAACACTAATTTGAAAAGATACATGCACCCCTATGTTCATTGCAGCATTATTCACAATAGCCAAGACATGGAAGCAATCCATGTGTCCGCTGATAGATAAATAGATAATGAAGATGTGGCATATATACAATGGAATATTACTCAGCCTTAAAAAGGAATGAAACCCTGCCATTTGCGACAACATGAATGAACCTTGAGGGCCTTATGCTAGTGAGATAAGTCAGAGAAAGATAATTACTGTATTATCTCCCTGACGTGTGGAATCTAAAAACAAAACAAAACACTGAACTCATAAGTATAAAGAATAGATTGGAGGTGGGAAGCGGGGACCAAATTAAAACAAACAAACTAACTAACTTCTCTTTCCCAGCCTGGAAATGGGCCCCATCCCACAGGGAAATGGGCCGCTTGTTCTGGGCTTCCACAGCCCCAGTCTTGTCACCTGGAGATGAGGGCCTGCTCCCCTTGACCTCCATCGGCCACATGGCTTTAGATTTCATCCACATGCTGAGGGTGCCTCTATGTCCATACCCACGTCTGACAGCTCCCCGTTCAACATCACCCAGAATCTGCCCGCTTCTTACCACCTCCGCAACTTCCACCATCTGGCCTCTGAACCAGTGCTTCCTCCTGAATCTCCAGGATCCCACTGCTGCTGCCCACACACTGTTCCTCCCAGGACAGCCAGCGGGTGCCTGTGAACGCCTATGTTTGGTAGTCATCCCTCCCTACTCAGAACCCTCAGAGGCTCCCATCTCAAGCAGAGCAAAATCTCAAATCTTTCCTACAGCCCTGCAGGAACTGCCCTGTCACTTCTCTGCCTCCGTCTCCTCCCACTCACCCCACACTGGCTTCCTCACTGTTCCTCAAATATACCAATCACACTCAGGGCCTTTGCATATGCTATTCCCTCTGTTTGGAATGTTCTTCCCCCAGATCTTTGCATGGTTCCTCCCACACCTCCTGCAAGTGTCACTTCCTCTGTGGGCCTCCCTGATCACCTCAACTAAGATTGTATGGGACCTGTGTCTGTTGGGGCTCAGCAGTCAATGATGCATTTAAAAAATTTTTCAAATGAACAAGTGATTGAACATAGCCTATGCCAAACTGCCTCCTCCCTCAGATAGGGAGCCTTGGGAGGCAGGGCTGCCCGACTCACCTCTCTCTGCAGCATCTCCTTCTCCGTCTGGATGGCCTCCAAGGAGGCCTGCATGTGGATTAGTTCATCTTCACGGCTTCCCAGGGCCAAACGCAGCCAGGCATTTCTCTCGGCCATGCGGGTTGCCTCCCTCTGGTAGCCCCCTGCCCCTTCCTGCTCCAGGCAGGGCCTTCGTCCCCCCTTGCTTCTGCCCTCTGCCTCCATTGGCCCAGAACAGCTTGGGGGCTGGTGGCGCCAGGCAGCAGCTGCTGCCTCCAGTGAGCTCAGAGCATGCTGGAGAGTCTGAAAAATGTCGGGGGCCCCAGATCCAGAGGAGACGGTCTCCCTGTCCCATGGGGCTGCCTCTGGGGCCTGATGAGCTTCTTCTGCAGGCTCATGGGGCTCCTTGGGTGCTGGGGCCAGTCCCCTGCTAGAGTCCCCATCAGCCTCTTTTTCGGTTCTGTGAAGAGGTGAGAGATGGAAGATTCTGAAAATGGGAACATCTGGGGTGGCTGGCATACAGCGGCTGTGTGTCAAGGCTGGGGCCTTGAAAGTCAGCTTGAGGAGGGTGATGGGGAGTCATGGTATGTGTGTGAGTGGGAGTGGAAGGGGCACAGGCAGTGTTATGGGTGGGAAAGAGCTGGAGTTGGAGGCACAGACCAAGAGGGTCTTACCTGCTCTCCAGGCTCTGCCCACTCTCCTCCACCCCAGGGCCCAGCAGTTCTGTCTTGCAGCTTTCCTGAGATGGCAAAGGGCCCAGTGCAGGGCTTCCGTTGGCTGCCTCAGCCTCCTCTAAACTTTCTGCCACAGGGTCCAGCTCCCCCTGCAAATGGTCACCATGACTGAGCTCTGAGCCAGGAAGGGCTCGGCCCAAGGGTCCCACTGAGCTGGCTGTGGCAGGGGTGGAGGACACTTACAGGTGGAATGTGCCTCCCTCGCCGGCTTCGGGGCCGTGTGGCCCGGGCACTCATTGCTGTCCAGAAATCAGTGTCCTCTGAATCTTCCTCCTTCGTTCCCTACTAAAACCACAGCCTGATCTCAGCTCTTGCCTTTGCTGTCCTGGGCAAATGACAGTTTCAATTTCCTCTTCTGCGAAATGGGCATTGATTTCTCCCCTTCAGAAGGGATCTTGAGTCGTCAATGTTGATTTGGCATATTTAAATGACCTTAAAAGCTTACTACTTTCCAAGGTTGCCCTGACCTCCCCCTTCTCCTTTGCCTCCTTAAACTTTCGCTTCCTTGGAGCTCCCTTCCCTCCCCTATCCTTGGCCTAGGACAAGAATGTCAAGAGTCCTCTCTCCTCCTCAGGGCCCTCCTGAACCACAAGCCCCAACCCTGGGGTTGGGTCCCCTCAGCCCTCTCTGCTTCTCTATTCCTCTAGGAGCACCTTAGTCAGAGGCCCGAGTCCCTGGACATTCTTGGGGTCACTCTGCCACTGTCTGCTCAGGCCTGGGCTGGCCAAGATTGGCCTGGGAGGGACCAGGAAACAGGAAGCCCCCTCCCCTGGTCACATGACTTGTTATTGTGCAGTTTCCTCCTCAAGGACAGTGCCTTCCTCCAGTCCCAGCAGGGGACACGTGTCCAGCTTCCAGAGACATCCATCCCAACTCACCTCAGCCTCCAAGGCCATGGCTCTTCCACCTCTGAGCCTCAGTTTCCTTATCTGACCTACAGTGTCATGGGAGTTTTAACAAGCAATTTGCACATGGCTAGGCACCATCAGGGATCTGAATTGTAATATGCACTCCTTGTTCCCTATTACCTCTCTGAAAGTCCCGTTTCTGTTTCCTCTGCCAGCTGTTGTTGAGGAATCTGCAAAATACTGGATTCCTCAGAGCCTAGATGATCCTTACGTCCTGCCCATTTTTCCTGCATCTACCTCTAATAGGTTTCCTTTTCTACATCCATAGTCACAGTCCAAGCCCCTCTTGTCCCACCCGGATGCCAGCCCAGCTCCCTCTCTGGGATCCCCAGTCCCCAACCCCATCCACTCCTTTTCCCATCCAGGCTCCAGAAACAGAGATCTGATTAATTGCCTCCCTTGCTCACACACCCCCGTGGTTCTCCACTGCTCTTGGGAAACATTTCAAGCTCTTCAACCTGGCATTCAAGGCCCTTGAAAATTATGCTTCCTGCTTGCACCCACGTATACTCCATGCTGTAGCCGTGATGGCCTCCTCCATGAATGGCTGAAGGTTCTCAATTCTCACACCCTAGGTCTTTACCCATGCTATAAGCTCTGCCTGAAACACCCTGTCCTTCCTTCTGCACTTGGATTAACTGTGCAGAGACAAGTAGCCTGAATCTTCCAGATCCCACTAACAGATCCTAGGAGGCTAAATCTTCTTTCTTATGGAGGGAGAGAAATTGTACTCCTCTGACTTCGGGGTACACAGGGCCATTGAAATCCTCACTCTTACCCATGCTCTAGCTAAATTAACCTGTGAGAGGTCCCACCACTACAAGGGTCTTCAGAGCCTCCAGAACTATGTCCAGATTCCTTCTGCCTGGAATGCCTTTCCTCCTGTTTTTCTAGCAAATTCTCCATCCTTCAAGGCTCAGCCTACATAGCCCCTCCTAGCTGTCATTAAATCAGAACCTGGCTGATGTGGACAGGCTTATCTGATTCTTAAAAATAAAAAAACTGAGGCTCAGAGTAGTTTTAAATAGTTATAGAGCTAAGGGGAGAAGTGTGCATGAAAAAGGAAGGGTAGTTAGAAATAGTTCTGGCTTAGTATTTTTGATTTTTGTAAATATATGTAAAATAAGGAAAATTAAGTAATTAGGAGGGGCCTTGGAGCCTGGCCTACGCCCACCTCAATCCGAAAAATCCCGCCCCTCACTGAGGTCTCGGTCAGTGCCACCCACAAAATCAGCCCCGCCTCTTCTTCTAAATCCCGCCCAATTCTGTCCCACTCAGTTTATCACATTGCAGACTAAGCTTTCTGTATCCCTCTGAGCTTAGTCCATCGAAACCTCTGCCTCGTCCCAGCCTATCACTGTACAAGCGCTGACCAGCGTAGTCTGAGTCTGCCCAAACGAAAACTCCGCCTCATCTTGCTTTAGCCAATCACATTCCAGATCCATCCCACTCAGCCTCCCGCCCCTAGCACAGTCCCAGCCTCTCAGCTTCCAAGACTCTCCAGCTTCATCCAATTCATAGCTCTGCTCGCTCTGCGGCCCGCTGAACTACATTTCCCAGGAGGTGTCGCGGCCGCGCCGCACCACGACCGGCTGCGAAGATGGCGGCTTCCTAGTGAGTCGGCCGCCGAGTAGGATCGCGACTCAGGCCACGGTGAGCAGAAGTTGAGGGGTGGAAGCGTGCAGGGCTCGTCTCTAGACGAGCTCCCAGCTCCCGGAGCCCCAGAGATACAGCTCCTTGCCTACCTTGAAGCTTCCTTCTCCAGCTCTGGTTTCTCTTACATCTAGCCTCCATCCCTCTTACTGCAGCTAAGGCTTTGTTTTCATTAGAGGTTGTGGGGGCTGCAAGGCTCTCAGAGACCATCCCGGGCAGCCCGCAGCCCATTACCCAGATAGACAAGCTGGGTCATTGGCGTCCTCTCTTTCCTTAAAGATACCTGTAATACACAGATCCGCGACCCTCCCTTGTGCAGACACCCCCAAGGCCCACGGGGGAGAATCTCAGAGGTATACTATTCCTTTATTCACCGAAACAGTGTCGGGTAACAGAAAACCCAACTCAATCTGGTTTAATCAAGAAAGAGAAGTTAGTGGCTTATAAGACTGGTTCCAGGTGTAGCTGAATCTAGGTGCTCAGAAGTCTGTTGTTTTTGGGTGATCATCACTCAGGCGAGCTCTCTTTACCCTCTTGAAGGCTAAAGAGGCTCCTGGAATCTCTTGATTTGTATCTTCTCTGCAACTCTTAACAAGCCCCTCTCCCCTAATAATAGCTCTATTGGAAGTCCCAGAGCTGCTCCTCACTGGCCTATATTCAGTCATGTCCCCATCTCTGAGTCATTCACAGTGGCCAGTTGTGCTCACTGGCCAAGGAGGAGGGGCCGGGGTTAGCCCTACAGAAGAAAATGAAAGAGACTATTATCTTATGTCAGAGTGAATGCCAGGCCGATAGTGTAAAGGCACCTATTCTACGGATGAGAAAATAGACCCTGAGAGGAGGGACTTCTAGTCAGTGAGCTGCTGGTACCCTGGCCTGCCTGGTAACCAAGTATTTTTAAAACCCCTAAGAGAAGGATTCTGGCTTCCCTTATCCCTGCTTCATCCAGCCACTCAGGAGCCATGGAAGTGACAGAGCCCAGCAGCCCCACTGAGGAGGAAGAAGAGGAGGAAGAGGAGGAGGAGGAAGAAGAACAGTCAGTGGAGCCAAGGCCGCGCACACGCTCCAACCCTGAGGGGGCTGAGGACCGGGCGCTGGGGGCCCAGGCCAGTGTGGGCAGCCGCAGCGAGGGCGAGGGCGAGGCGGCCAGTGCTGACAGTGGGACTCCAAACCCTCCGGGAGTCGGCCCTAAGGCCTGGCAGGTGCCTCCACTAGCCCCTGAGGTCCAGGTGCGGACACCAAGGGTCAACTGTCCAGAGAAGGTGGTAAGTGGAAATTCAGCCATCAGCTCTGAGGCTTTAGAGGATTTTGGATTAACATTCTTGCCTTTTGGGATGTTTTGTAAACAGTTCTTTTATATGAGTTTCCTGGAACTGCCACAATAAAGTACTACAAATGGTTCTAGAAACCATAAGTCTGAAATCTACATTCCCTCCAAAGGCTCAGGGGGAGGATACTTCCAGCCTTTTCTAGCTTCAGGTGGCTGCAGGCATCTTTGACTTGTGGCTGCATCACTCCAATCTCTGCCTCCATTTTCACATGATCTTCTCCTCTGTGTCTCCTTTTCTGTCTCATAAGGAAACATGTCATGGGATCAGATGATTTTATCTCAAGATCTTTACTTTAATTATACTATTAAAGACTAATTCTAAATAAAGTTATATCCTGAGGTTCTAGGCAGGTGTATCTTCTGGAGGCCACAGTTCAACCCACTCTACCCCTGTTTCCTTGAGTCTGTGTCAGACTCCTAGTCCAGTGCTCTTTCTTTCGAGCCACCGCATTCCAAACTGGATGGCTTGGCTTGGAGTTGGGGGTCATCTTGTTGCCTTTTCAGACAGGGCTGCTTGAAGCGAGCCAAGCGCGTGGAGGTGGTGTTAACATCCAGCCTCCAGGTGCTGTTGGTCACGATGCCTTCACCACCCTCCAACTTTATTGCAGATCATCTGTCTGGACCTGTCAGAGGAAATGTCACTGCCAAAGTTGGAGTCGTTCAACGGGTGAGAGGGACATTTTGGGGCTTGAATGTGTAGCCATGGTTGGGAGGGGCCTGGCCCCCAAAACGCAGGGCTCTCTCTCTCAGACACCGCTGTGGTCTGGCCTGGGGCCTGTCAGTATCAGAGTGTAGCAACAATACCTGGTAATGATACAGCATCTGCCCACGGGGTTCTATTCTAAGTGTGTGAGAGCTGTCATGCAACGCCCATGACACACTAGTGACTTGGAAACTCAGTAAAGCAAAGGGACTTGCCCAAGGCCTCACAACAAATGGACAGAGCCAGGATTCAGACGCAGGCCTAGCTGACTCCGAAGTCCTTGCCCTGAGCAGCTGGGTCTCTGTGGGATGGAGTGGCAGGGCCTGACACAGACCAGAAGCACAGAGATGGTAAAGACAAGCCCATTTTCCCCCTTGCTGGCACCCCTAACCACCCATGGCTGAGCAAAGATCGTCAGAGACCTCACAAGGGTCAGATGTGAAACCCAGGCTGGCCAGAGGGACAGCAAAAGATGGAGAGGGTCAGCTAGGCCAGGTGAGGGCAAAAGATGGAGAGGGTCAGCTAGGCCAGGTTTGCTGTTGGGCTCCACCACCCCTCTGCTGTGTGTCCTGGGCCTCGGCCTCATTGTGGGACTGCGGAGGGTTCCCCAGGATGGATGGGTGAGGGGCTGTCTCCTGAGGTCAGGAGGTCTCTCCTTAACCACTGCCCTCACTCTCTGTCCCTCCTCAGCTCTAAAACCAATGCCCTCAATGTCTCCCAGAAGATGATTGAGATGTTCGTACGAACAAAACACAAGATCGACAAAAGCCATGAGTTTGCACTGGTGGTAGTGAACGATGATACTGCCTGGGTGAGGCTGG